GACTTGTTCATATTTTATATTTAAAACCAAGACTAGCAGTGTTGTTACTTTGCATGGTTTCTGAGCACCTAACCTAGGCCAGGTGCTGGGCTAAGTGTTAAGGAACAAAGAGTAACACATGCCCTGTGGCCATGCGGTCTCAGCCACGCTGTCCAGCCTAGGAGCCACTTGTCATGTGACAAGTCTGGATTGAGATGTGCTGTAAGGGAAAAACACACACCAGATTCTGAAGACCTAGTACAAAAAGAAAGAATGTAAAGTATCTCATTAATATTTTTATACTGATTATACATTGCAATGATACGTTGATATGTTGGGATTAAACAAAACATATTAAAATTAATTTTACCTCTTTTTTCCTTTCCTTAATTTGGCTACTAGAAAATTTATAATTCTATGTGTGGCTTAGATTACATTCCCTTTGGACGGTGTTGTTGCAGTGTAGACAGGCAGGAATGGGTTGATGACCAGATTAGAAGAAGAAAGTGCTTTTGGGGCAGTGGGGTGTTCGCCTCTGACTGCCTGGGGCAGAGCAAGCCCCTGAGAGGCAGGTTATGGAGACGGTCACAGGGGGTGTGGGCAAGGGGGTCAGAGTGAAGGGCTTCCAGGCAAAGCAAAGGAGAGGAGGGACCAGGCACACACAGGGCACGTTTCAAAAAGGGTGACAAAAATTGCACAGAGCACAGGGACTAGGGAAGCAATGGGACGATGAGATGGAAGGTGAGTTTGTGCCAACATTTGAGGGGCCTTTTGTTCCACTCTCAGACTTTGAACTAACTGAATTTGAACCTTTTCCCTTGTTCACTTATAAAGAAGCCAGGAATTTACACAGAAGAGAATGCTAGGCTTGGTTGAGAAGAGCTGTGGAAGTGAAACTCTTTGTATTTGGAACTTTGTAGGATAATTAGCAGACAGTGTGTTTTTGCTTCTAGTTCAGATCCTAAAAGCAGATTCAGAGACTTGAGTCTGGTATTTGATCTCCAGCAACTTTCTGTGATCTCCATGTGGCTTCCTAGAATCAGAGACTGTCAGAGGCCATGCAGCAGGCTGAAGGTCACTAAGACCAAAGCACAAAGTCACCCGACACCTGGGATCTGGGCTTTTCCCCTATAACAGGCTGCTTATCTTTGTCCTCTTTGTGTCTCAATTTGGGTGGCTGAGATCTCAGAGTATCAACAAACAATAAAAGGGTTTGTTTTTTTTTTCAACTTTTTTTTTTTTTGAGACAGAGTCTCACTGTGTTGCCTGGGCTAGAGTGCCGTGGCGTCAGCCTAGCTCACAGCAACCTCAAACTCCTGGGCTCAAGTGATCCTTCTGCCTTAGCCTCCCGAGTAGCTGGGACTACAGGCACGCGCCACCATGCCCGGCTAATTTTTTCTATATTTTTAGTTGTCTGATTAATTTCTTTCTATTTTTAGTAGAGACGGAGGTCTCACTCTTGCTCAGGCTGGTTTCGAACTCCTGAGCTCAAACAATCTGCCCGCCTCGGCCTCCCAGAGTGCTAGGATTACAGGCATGAGCCACCGCGCCCAACCAATAAAAGGGTTTTGATCTAAGCCAGAATAGCAGCTCAATACATTTTAAGAATAGACAGACACAAAGTACGCAAGAGATCCCAGCCCCACACTCCAGGGGACAGAAGGCAATCACCAAAAACAAACTGAAACCTGGGATGGATTATTCATAATAATAACAACAATAAAAGCCCCTCAACCTCAAAGACAAATACCTACTGACTACGGGAAGTAAACAGTCCTTTGAGGAAAAGTTATTGGAAATGATCAGATCTGATTAGAAACTGCCATGCCTATTGGAATTTTTGGTCTATCTAGAAGGAGATTAGGAAGGCAGGGCCAGGAAATGGAGAACATATCTCTGGATTTAGGGATTTTAGGTCCGTTCAGTCAAAACAGCACTTTTGCTAAGCACCCACTGTAGGTGCTAAGGTCATGTGGCAGGGGGAAGGGAAGTCACTTAGGTATGTTACAAGGCAGGATCAAAGCATGCTAGAAACACAGTCCAAAGCACAAGATTCTGGGAGGGGAGCCCATGCTCTGATTAGGGAGATTCTATAAAGATTAACGAAGACAATGGGTTTGAGCTGCGCCTTGAAGGACACATATACTATTCTTCAATTAAGTGACAATGCAGGAAGATTTTAAAAAGAGGAAATGATATGAATGTGAAAAGCAAAGCCCTCTATTAGTTATCGAGGGAAACTGGTGGTTTTAAGAATTCATTTGTAACATTTTAAAGAAACATTCGGCCCATTCCTACTTCCCACACTGATATCATTGTTTTATTTTCTTCAAACCAATTATTATTGTAAAAAAATCAGCTTGTTAATTTATTTATTTGTTTTGCATTGTTGCCATTAACCAGGGTAACCACACCAACAGATTTGCTCAGGACAGTCCCAGTTTATGCCTGGCATAATCTTAGTCTTAAAAGTGTCATCATGTGAGCAAAACATTATAAAGATGTTCTACACATAACTCCCCAAGAAATTATTAGCTTAGCTTTTAAAAAGTAATTTTTCATTTCCCCCCCTCCAGAGATGGGGTCTCGATATGTTGCTGAGGCTGGACTTGAACTCCTGGGCTCAAGCGATCCTCCCCTACCTCAGCCTCCGGAGTAGCAGGGATTACAAGAGTGCCACTGCATCTGGCCAATTTTTCACATCTCTTGTCTACTAATATGAACATTGTTTCAAACAATCCTTAATTCAAGTAATGATGAATACACTACTATGTCCTTTTTTCTTCCCTTCATTTCTCAGCATTTAAACTTTAAGACTCAGCCTATATACCTTTTAAAGACAACACAATGTTTTTCTAAAATATTATTTATGTTCTATTCACTAATAAACTCTCAGCCACACTGCCAAACTAGCCACATCATATACTGGGAAAGCAATTCTCAACTGTCACTTGGACATATTCAACTACAAAGTGCACAGAAGCAGGAAACAGATTTTAGGAGGAAACCTGCGCCACGTAAGAAGTCAGACTTGATGTCCAAACAAGCATATGTACTCAGTAGGCAACAAATGAAACAACTCATTTGGCTCTGAGGCCTTCTCCAAATAGCCTTTTATCAAGTGGAAGAATTGCTGGGTTCTATTGAGTGATTTTTAAAAAAAAAAAAATCATAAACAAGGAGAAGCTTGGCATGACCAGTCATACGGGAATGTGCTTACCGGACAACCCAGGCATGATTTGGTTTTGAGGAATGAGAGAGCAATAAACCAACCTCATCCTGGCTCTTTCCTGAACTCTCTCCAGGCACTCACCTTTCAGATCTCCGTTCCCATCCTTGTCGCTGTCCCTGAAAGACCTCGGGTAGATCTGGTACATGGGCCCCTCCTGCCACCAGTCTAGGCACTTTGGAGAGATGACGGTGAGGGCTACGGTGGCCCCAATGAGCACAAGCACGGAAGCTATGGTGAGCCAGAAGAGGATCTCCCGGGGCAGCCGGTAGCGGGCCTGGCCTGAGAACTGGAACAGCACCTCCTTGGGCATCCCCGCGTAGGGCTGGATGCGCTGGACGTTGGGCTCCCGGGAGCCATCGATGCCCGCAGTGCTAGGCTGGGGGTTGTCTTGTGAGCTGCCCGGATCTGGATCCTGCTCTAGGTTGTCTTCATTTTGGACAAACCCGTTGTTTATCTGGCATCCCTTCCTATTCATCTGGAGGGAGTCTCTCTTGCCTTTGTCCTCAGCCATGTCTCACCGACTTACCCCTTTGGAGTGCCTTCCTACAGCAACGCAGGTGGAAAGGTGGCTTGCTGAATGCTTGATCTTGTTAATGGGCTTTGTGTGGTTTATAAATAAACCCGGCTGGACAAAGTCCAGCCAAGGAAGAAAGGGTAAAGGTGAAGGGGGTTTAACAGAAATTCTCTTTATACTTGTGAAACTGGCATAGCTGCAGTAACAACAGTGAGAGGGCTGGGGCCTGCAGTGGAGCGGAGCAGAGGAGAAACGGCACGCAGAGGCATGGTTCCCCTGCGATGCAGGGCGCTGCCCGGCTCAGCACACCAGTGTTCACAACAGCGTTATACACGATAGACAAAAAGTGGAACAGCCCAGACGTCCACCATTAAATGGCTGGATAAACAAAATGTGCTGTACACATACAATGGAATATTATTCAGCCTTAAAGAGGACTGAAATTCTGATACATTCTAAAACACGGATGAACCTTAAAAACATCATGCTAAGTGAAATAAGCCAAACGAAAAAAAAGACAAATATTTTATGATTCCACTTAGATGAGGTACCTAGAGTAGTCAGATTCATAGAGACAGGAAATAGAAAGGAGGAAGGGGGAAACAGGGAGTTATTGTTCATTGGGTACAGAATTTCAGTTTGGGATGAGGAAGTGTTCTGGAGGTGGATAGTGGTGATGGTTGCAAAACAGCGTAAATCTACTTAATGCCACTGAATTAAAAATGGTGTAAGTGGTAAATGTTATATATATTTTACTGCAATTTTTTTTTTTTGAGACAGAGTCTCGCTCTGTTGCCTGGGCTAGAGTGCCGTGGCGTCAGCCTAGCTCACAGCAATCTCAAATCCTGGGCTCAAGCGACCCTTCTGCCTCAGCCTCCCGAGTAGCTGGGACTACAGGCATGCGCCACCATGCCCGGCTAATTTTTTCTATATTTTTAGTTGTCTGATTAATTTCTTTCTATTTTTAGTAGAGACGGGGATCTCGCTCTTGCTCAGGCTAGTCCCGAACTCCTGAGCTCAAACAATCCACCCGCCTTGGCCTCCCAGAGAGCTAGGATTACAGGCATGAGCCACCGCGCCCGGCCTGCAATTTTTTTAAAAGCTTAAAGATTTCTCTTTTTAGCTAGGTATAAGAAAAAGAAACAAATACTGAATTTTGCAAAAGGACACAGGCTTTTCTTTATTTTTTTGTTTTGAAGGTGTCTTCCTACAAATTCAAGGGGAGGAGGGTCTGGAGACAGAGAACCACAACACTTTGTTACTGCAGCTAATTTTTTTTTATTTCTGTTCAAGCCAACCCCACAAAGGTCCATGTATATGCTCAGCTCTGCTGAGTGCTCAGCTCTCCCCGGGTGCATCTGGTCTTATTTTCAGAAAAGAAGGTGTCTGATCATTCTTGGAAGCACTTTCAGAAAGTGGAGGGAGAAAAGGACTCCACGTCAAGCAAGTTCAAGTGCTTTACTAGAGGTAAACAGTTCTTAATACTAGCACTAAAGAATCGTTTAATCACAGACAAGTGTAAAATACATTTACAAGTCAGAGGAAACTTCACTAAAGTTAGAGGTGATTTCCTAGGAGACTTTGCAAACCTTGAAAGAATGCAATGATTCATGATTTCCACTTTATCAACGGCATTTACACAACCCTATGAATCATTTGATCAGATAATGAGATCTTTTTTTTTTCCTGGTTAAACAAAGAAAGTTATCTGAGTCCCTAATCTTACTGGTTTTTTGTAGTGTGACTTAGAAGCAGGGTATAGAGGAATGAGCTACTTGATCTTGGCCAAATTATTTTTTTAAATGAGTAAATCGCGATACCTGGCTCATTGAATGCATCCAATAAGTGGTATCTTTAATCATTATTAATTATGCACATTGAATATTTTAAAAAATCAAATGAATTTAACTTTTGTGTCTTGTTATTGCTTTATTTCTGAAACACACAATGGAAATTTTTGCACAGGAGCTAATTCTTGAAATTCAGTTACTATTTGGGGAGAAGACAATGTGCAAAAATACCCACAGTTTTAAAATAATTTTAAATTTTAAAAACCTTGTAATGATAAAGGCTTAAATTCTAAATGTGTAATCATATAAATGCAGAGAAAATTCCACATCATAGCACTGTCTTCATGACAGAAACGTCCCATTTTGTCTTCTCTATATTTAACAACAATAATGATACTTTGAACTTCCAGAACATGCATAGTAGAAATTTTTTTAAAACAACCTGGAATAATTATCTGGTGTCTGGTGGGAGGATTTTTTTTTTAATAATAAAAGAAATTACAAAAGAAGATTGCTTGAATTGAGTAAAATCTTCAAATTTATTATATTACAAAACATATTAATCAAAGAGCATATGATAAATTGGGAAATGTATTTGTAATAAACATGCCAAAGAACTTGTCCTTAACACTAAAGGTATGTATATATTGTCAGACATGTATCCACATATGTAATTTCATATCAATTTTAAAATATAAGTGTCAGTAGAAAACTTTAAAAAAAAACATAAACAGATATTTCACACAAATCAAACTCACTAATATCAGAGAAATAAATAAGCACTTTCAATCACATTGGCAAAGAATTTTTAAAAGAGAGTAGTGCTGGCAAGAATCCAGTGTAAACAGACATAATAATCCTTGAAAGTAATTTGGCAATGTGTATCATGAGCTTTAACGTTTTTTAGGGTAATAAAGTGAGGCTAGCCCTACCAGATTTTAAAACAAAACTCCACAAAAATAAAGAGGTGATAATAAAAAAGAGATAGGTCAAAAGATCAATTAAACATTTTGAAGTTATCAAAAATAACTCCAATATAAAGGAATATATAAGAAAATCTAAAATATGGAAAGGCAACATTTCAAATCACAGAGAAAAAGAAAGATTATTTAGTAAGTGATGTTGGACAACTGCCTAGCTATTTGGAAAAGAAAATAAAGCTATGTAGGGTGTGGTGGCTCATGCCTATAATCCCAGCCTTTGAGAGGCCGAACGTATTTTCAGAGATTTTTTAATGACATGGAAAATAATTTCACATTGTTGTGTTAAATGGAGAAGTTTAGGATATAAAGAAATTGTGATTATGTAAAAAATTTCATGTGTACTTGTAAAGTCCTACTAGAAAACATGTTTAGAGTGTTTATCTCTGGGTTCTAAGATAATGGGTGATACTTATTTTGTTCTTTAAACTCTTTTGGATTTTTCTAAGTTTTCTATAATACATGAGTATTATTCTTTCATTGGAAACCCGGAATTCTAGACAGAGTTGGAAATCTGTCTAGAATTTCCTACGCAGGTGGTAGATTTCAGTGTCAGGTGACTCCTCCCAGCAATAGCTACCCGAAATTCACAAACACCCCATACACCCCATACTACTATCTAAACTAAAGAAAAAAAGTGGAAAGAAAACACAGATTCAATTAACAAGTATTGAAACACTGCAAGAGAAAAGGAAGTTGACAGCAATCTGGAGAAAGTATCTACATAGCTGAGAATTCCAAGCAAGTACAAAGATTACCAGTATTACTTCCTTTCAAAGAGATTTAAAGGAAATACTGATTGTAGAAACCCGAACACAGTACTGTTATCACTTGTAAATATGAATAAGGAACAAAAACATGAAGAAAGCTCTAAGAACTAACCTGGATAATCAGAACAAAAAATCAGAGACAATGACGATAAACCAGCTCAGTAAATTCAAATCCTAGGAATAAAACAAAAAAGAATGAAATATCTAGAAAATAGATGGCAGAACAATGGAGCACAGGAGCCAGAAACATCCTACAGTGAAACAAAGAAACAAGCACATAGAAAATAACCAATGAAAAGTTACATATAATGCATTTCAAAGCCATCGCATCGTAAAGACTTCCACTCAGCAGCAAACCCACCAAAGTGACATAAGGCATATAAAATGTCAGGTTTGTAAATACTAAAAGTAGAAGAAGGGTTTTCCATGTTGCGTTTGCCTGTTCACCAGACTGGCTTGCAGAGGCCGTGAGCTGAGGGCAGGAAGTGTCCCAGAGTCATCTTTAAGTTCACAGCGTCTATCTCAGTGCATGGTACGCTATTACATGAATAAAAGAATAGTTATTGAAAGATGGATAGAGCTAAACTTATGCTTTAGAAAAGTAAGAATGGAGGGGGAGGAGGAGGAGAAGGAGAATGGGTTAAGGGAGAAGGAAAGTGGAAAATGCATTCTGCACAAAAATGTGGATTTTTATCATTTCTCTTAGCCATGTGTTCTTGGCCTGACACAGTTTAATAAGGGAAATTTTAAGGCAGAGGAAGTGAGATTCAAGGCCTGCCTCCACTGTTTGCTCTCTGAGCGATCTTAGACAAATTTGTCAGCTTCTGTAAGCCTCTGTTACCTTAGCTGTGAAATTTAATTTGGTGCTGGGGTTAATATTGTAAATAGAGTTCAGAAGAAAGTGTTTTTAAAAACAGTTCTAGGCCAGGCACGGTGGCTCACACCTGTAATCCCAACACTTTAGGAGGCCAAGGCAGGAGGATCGCTTGAGGCCAGAAGTTTGAGGTTACAGTGAGCTATGATCATACCACTGTACTCCAGCTTGGGCAACAGAGCGAGACCTTGTCTCCAAAAAAATAAAAAAAGAAAATTAATTATGTTTAATAAGAGATTTTAAAATTGCCAAATTGCATATAAGAAAGTAACATATAATTGCATAAAAGTACTTTCTTGATGGAATTAAAGAAATACAAATCAAAACATTATTAGGATATAGCATAGATTAATTGCATTAATAGCCCAATTAATGACCTCCCCGTAGCTGCGCCTTTTGCCCTACAACTTCTTAGTTCCTTCAACACTGACTCTGTATGTGACCACATTACTTGTTTTGGCCAATGGGACAATAAAAAACTCGACACAGAAAGAGACTTATGAAGTGCTATGCATTTCTGCCTCTCTCTGGGACCCCTGCCATCACCTAAGAATATGCCCCGCTGGCTGCTGGAGGGTGTGGG